CCCCAAAACCCCAAAACCCCAAAACCCCTGGTTTCAATAATATTCAAACAGGAGGTAGTTTAAAAAAGAGATCAATGTTCAAACCGATTTATCATTAAGATTTATCTATTCTTGATTGGTAAGTAATTAAAATAATCTAAAATGTCTATTTACGGGGGCTTTGGAACTCGCTAGCAGGAAACTACCTACAACAAGGCAGTCTACAATTTACTCTACTTGATGCAGTTGAAGATATCGAGAAATAACAAGTCTTGTAAGTATACTCACTCCCTTATCGTGACCGTTTCTCATTAATTTTAATAGTGCCATTCGATGAACACCGATTTTAATCCTTATTCTCTAAACTTTATAACAGATTGTTTGTTATGGAGGAGTTTAAGTACCTTCCTCCTAAGTATTCGTATTCTATGAAGGATTTAGCTACAGATTTCGGTGTGTATGAACGAGCTGATGTTTCCTCAGTCATATCAGGCTCGACTAACATGAGCATGACGACCGCATCAGGATTCAATGTTAACTTCAACAATGAGAGTGCCAACATGTCAAGTTTGTTCAAAGAAAAGGATTTTACTTCCTTCCCACTTAGCCCTATTAAGGAATAAAGAGGACCTTCATTAGGTTCACTTAAGAATGGCAACACTTCTCTTAAGAAGTATGCTAGTATTTCTTCAAGTGGCCAAAAGAGTCTCAGTAACGGGCCTTAACAAAGATTCAGAAATCCAGTCTACAATGAGATGGGTCTATCAAAGTAAAGCAAACGATCAAAGAAGGCTTCACCTCTTAGAGAAAGAAGCTATGATCAAGTTTAGAATTATACTCTACCGAACCCTAATTAGTTGAACTCAATTTCTTAAATCTAGAGCTAAATAAAACCAAATCTCTCTACTCAGCTCGTTAAGAGTGGAGGACTCCCTCTAAATAAAAATGGGTATATTAATGATAAGTCTGGGTACATTAATGATGGGACTCTGAGTGATTCATCTAAGAGAAAGTCTGGTTCACTTGCAACCACAATCAACAATAACAACATAGTAATTAATATCAACAAAAATTACAACGTACTTTTATCATTCTTTTGCTAATTCTTCTTTATAGGGAACGAATTTGAATCAAGTGCAGGAAGAGTCAGTGGAGGATCCTGATGATAATGAGGCAATGAACGAAGATGATTCAATACAAAATGATAGATCTGTAACTCTTAACTAGAGTCAATATACTCCGGCAAAGAAACGAATAGATGATTAATCTTTCCAAAGAATTCAACCTCCCACTATCAGATCAACAGATAATTCAATTAATTCAAGAGCAAAGTATCTACCTTAGTAAAAAGGCACAATGTTGTAAAATACAGGAAGGTTTACAATAAAGAAATGTAAAATATAACAAATGTTTATATTAAATTTAGTGAGCAATAGAAAGTTAAGATCTCTAAGTCCAAGGGAAACATTTGATTAGAACTAGCAGTACCAGCTTTAAAATTAGAATTTCAGTTTAGTGTAAAACTAGATGGGAGGAATTCCTAATGGCATTGGCAATGGCAATTACTAGCCTAACTCAAAGGTGACAATGTTCTACCATCATAATGGCAATAATCCGAATTATAACAATCAGAGTGATGGTGAAAGTGGCGTCATCTCTCAGCCTGAAGACTATGCAGCCCAGATAAATCCAAATGCCTACTATACTACTAATGGCAGTAGATTTGCATCCAATCCTTATCAGCAAGCAGCAACTAGCAGGTAAACAGGCTAAAGCAATAGAGGCAACGGCATAGCTAATCCATATTAAAGGAAGTTCGTGAGGAGATAATGAACAACAACTGAGTGAGGCAAGTATTCAATTGAATATACAAGGTGCCTATATGTATAAGCACGAATTAGCAATGAAAGTGAATACTATGAGGTTACAAGGAATATGCATTAAAGTATTTTTTAGATCGAAAATATTTAAATGCAAAGCTCTATGTTAACCAATTCACTTAGACTCAACCTCTGTCTTAAGTTATATATTTATTAATTTCTCAAATAACCATCAAATTATTTATTTTATATTATGGGGTTTTGGGGTTTTGGGGTTTTGGGG